AATATAAAAAATAATAAATAAATAAAAACAGTATAGCCGAACGGCTATACCGTTAAAATGACATTGGAATAGTATAGCCGACCGGCTGTGCTCGCCTAATAGAATATTTGAACAGTATAGCCGTACGGCTATACTCCAAAACAGAATATTTTACAGTATGGCCGGGCGGCTATACCCTGTGAGCAAACTAAGAGAATAAATATGAACTTATTATCTTTAAGTCAATAAAATTCTTAATGAGTAATTAATCGCAAAGTAAACCATAAATAAAACATATGCAACAATTAAAGTGATTAAAATACACAAATTCATATTATGGTATTTATAAAACTAGTCAAGAGTATTATCCATTACGTTTAGGCCATTACCAAGGTATAGCTATTGTTCCCTTTTAATTCTTTTTTCTTTTCCAGAGTTATTACCCGCATAAAGAATTTAGCATGCTCCCCATTTGATAAGCGTGCGCACGTAATTTTCAATAATACTTCCGTTTTTCGTATACGTCTTAAAGACTCGATATAATGAAGGCAAACATATAGTACACGTATTGTACGCTTACACAGGTATTTTAATGATTGTTCAATATCAAAGAACCATAAACAAAGTCCACAAAATAGTTCAAAACAATTAATTACTATTTACCAAGTAATTTACGAAATCAGTAAAATATTTAAATATTCACTAAAGAAATAATAATAACTAATTAAAGTAATTAAAAAAAAGCTAAGGTATTACTTAATTACATGTATTAAATTAAAGGAGTTGGACAAAATACAAGAGTGCGGAATATAATTTTATATTTACAAAAATTTCAAACAAAAAAATAAAACCGTATAGCCGAACGGCTATACCGTTAAATTCAATTTGCGGTTCCTGACCTTGGATTAGTATAGCCGCGCGGCTGTACTCCTCTAATAGAATCTTTGAACAGTATAGCCGTACGGCTATACTCTAAAACAGAATATTTTGAAGTATGGCCTCCCTGCTATACCCTGTGAACAGTAAACTAAGAGAATAAGTATAAGCTTATTATCTTTAGGTCAATAAAATTCTTAATGACTAATTAGTCGCAAAGTAAACTATAATTAAAAAAAATGTAAAAATTAAAGTGATTAAAATAGACAAATTCATATTATGGTATTTATAAAATGGAGTTTCACTAAAACTCCCAAAATGGGGGTTGAAATTATAAAAAAACCCAAGCACTATTTAAACATATAAACACACCCAAAACCCATCATTACACACACTCAAAACCCATTTATAAACACACCCAAAAAGTTGACTTTGGGGTTGATTTTGGGTGTGTTTCTATGTTTAAATAGTGCTTGGGTTTTTTTATAAATACATGTCTAGGATTGGGTTTATTTATAAATTTGTA